TATTGAATAAATCTTTCCACCAATTCGGTTTAAAACTATCACCGTGCGTCTTAACAATTTCGAATAACACCGTTAGGCCGCGTGTACGCACATCAAGCTTGCAGCGGTTGACCACACAAGACAACGAGAACAGCATTGGGAACCAGCCGCGCACCCAAACGCGATCCTCCTCTGCCACCGAAATGTCATTCTCCATGCCAGCATGTTCAGCGAATAATTGTGGCGCGTCATGCACACAGAGCGCACACGTGCGCACCAGACGTATAGCCTCCATGCTTGTATCCGGAAAGCGTGCATTGCAAGCGAACTCCGACAGACATTTCACTGCATCTTGAAATGAATCCACCATAACGGCGAATTGCTTTTGATACAGTTCGCCAATGATTTTTCCAGTTGTTTGAAATGCTAACTCAACGATGGCCTCCTCATTATCGCTAGCTGCTAAATGGAATATTGAAAATATATTCTTCCAACCGGATTTTATATTATGCGCCTGTGAATTGACCATTTGTGCAATACAACGCACAACCATGTCGCGTATAGCAGGCGATTGATTTTTCTTCATAATATGCTCGAAAGGTCTAAGGAAATCTTTTTGGAAACGAAAGTTGGCAAATTCGCCCTTCTCCATAAATTTCATGGACAACTGACGCAACGAGTCCAAAGCAAAAAATGCAATCTCCTCATTTGTATTGCAACCCACAGCGTTGAAATGTTCGCCCAAAACCTGCCAAATGCGTGACCACTGCAAACGTATACGCTCCATATTGTAGTAGGAAATTTCCACGATCTTTTGTAGCGAAAACATACGAGGCTGCACATTCTGTAATTCGTCAACGGAGACCTATTGAAAGCAAAAACAAAAAATAGTTATAAAATTGATTTCTTTTTGAAATATAAAACAATAAACTTTAACTTCGTTAGCAGCGAAGCCCTCCTAGGTGTTACAAACTTCGTGGCAAACTGCTATACATAAAAATGTTGTTTTATTACTAACCTGGCAAAGTGCTTTGACAAAGTCCACTATGGCATCACCATCCAATCTTATGGAACCTGTAAATATACGATCAACAGCGACTACAACACTTTGGCTGCTTGTCTCGCCAATATGCTCTTTAACACTCTGATTTAGGCTATCTCTCAACGTTGTCTGTGCGCCGGACAAAAATTGCGGACGCACACCGGTACCGATCAATTGCGCCAACTCTAATTGACTGATACACTTGACGATGTCAAGCCAGCTGGAGCCAAGATAGTTGCCATCCGTGTGTGCTACCATGATTAGTGTCTTTATCGTATCAATATTTTTTGCCTTCATCTCATTGATCGGCGAATTCGCAGTGAGTAGAGTAAAACGTGCCAACGCCTGTACATAAGCATCACGTTCCAAGGACATATGAAAAATACATGCAATGCGTATCGCACAACGTATACCATCTAAGCATAGGCATGCAATTTCTGGATCATCACAATCCTGCAGGCCAACCGAGAATGCAGCCAGAAAAGGTGTCCAAGCCATTTTGAACATTGGTCGCACATGTTCCAGGTGCTTGGCCGATGTAAACGGTGACTTTACGTGTGACACCGATTCCATTAAATTCTTAGCCGTCGCCGAAATAGCCTCCATTTCCATATTCCACAAAAGTTTACGACGCTTCTCATTAACAATGATCTGTTTACCCGGCTTGTTGATAATGGTATTTTTCATTTTTATCTCGTGTCCAGCGATTTCATCATAAATTGACGATAAATATTCTTCGGGTAGATCATCTTTGCTGTCACTAATACCGCGATTCATTTTTATATACTGCTCTTTGGTCATCTTATTCTTAACTTGCGGTGAATGCAAGTCTGTCGTTAACATAATTATAGAAAAGGCTAGCACATACACAGTGTCGGCACTTTGAAACAATTGATTGTTCGGATTGCATTCACAATAACGACTCGCAAATTTTTCCATTAAACGATCGATTTTTTGTGCTTCGCCCGGCAAACGGAATTCTTCGAGTAAAAGACGCAGTGCGGCGACAACTTCCAGTTTTCGAAAATCGAAGGCATCAATGTAAGCGCACATCACTTCTTTAGAATGATCGTCATTCTCGCCCAGATAATTACCGATAACTGTTTTGTCCAAACGTTCGTCTTCATGCAGCCACTTGGCAATGTCAACTAGATTTGTGCCTAAAAGCTGCTTCTCCTGCAGGAACTGTACACCTTTTTTAGGTTTTCTATTAAACATTTCAATGCCCGTTTCCATCACTTCTTTACGCATTTTTCGTTCTTCCAAAGCTTCGGGCAAATCAAGCACCTCTGTATTCTTTACGCTACCAAATGAATTTATACTATGGCTGGAGCCGCCATATGCCGAACGTGTCGAGTTGTTGGTCTGCGAAAGCGAATCGGTATTATCCAGTTGGTTATGCTTATGTGACACATCGACGCTTGTTTTATGCGTGGCATGTGTGTTTACCGTTTCTTGTGGATTTATTGTTGACAAGTTTGGATTTACATACAAATCTTGACTCCATTCGACCATACATTTTAAAATCGACACCAAACACTCAAGTCCACGTTTGCGCATTGATTTCTCTTGCAGTGGGTTTGCGCCCAATTCCACTGCTTGGCGACCTTGTGCTATTTTCGACAGATCGTTAACGAGTCGCTCAAATAAGTTCGCTGCAGAAAAGTCACAATCATAATTAACGTAGATATCAACCACAGATTGTGCATCGGCGCATATACGTGTCAATGCTTGTATTACCATCCATTTATGTTCAAAGGAACTCGAATTTGCTTCTAATATATTGAGAAAAATCTCTTTGAAAAACACTTCTATTTGCTTTTTAAGATGTACTTTGAAGTTCGAGAGTAGCGCCACAAATATAGAAAGGGATAATTCGAACACTTCTGGCACCAAGCTAACACCATTTTTCGAAAGCGCCACACACAGATACTGCTTTATGGCCATGATAAACATTTCATTGGAACGGAAAACGGGGCCAGCATTTTGCAATATGGACAGTAATAAGTGCAGCGATAAAACTTTTGAACGCAATTCGTGTGATTTCGGATCGGGATGTCCTTCGGGTAATGGTTTCATGCTTAATTTACATAGTGCACGAAATACTAGAAAGGCATCTTTTTGCAAAATATGTGTGAATTTTGCTGTAACGACGGCATCGCTTTCATTTTGATTATCTGCATTTTCTTCTGAATTGAGTTGGTTATCGATTCCTTCCACTGATCCAAAGGAAGAGTTAGTGGTCGTTTCTTCGATGGCACCGTTGGACATTTCTTTCAATGCTTGCTCGAAAGCGTCTATAAAATAAAATATCAATATATACATATATATAAATTTACCTAACAATTAAAAATAAAATTCTTACTATTTAGTACTTCATCTAGAACGGAGCTTGCAATATCTTCCAAGGACATTTCGGTTTCGCTACCGTCGATATTTTCTGCTCGTTCTACCACTGGTGATTGAGCACCAATATCTGTTGTTGAGTTGTTTTTAGTGCCGTTTTCCATATGGGTACTCGTGCTCAACTCGTATTCTTGGTTCTCCATACGGGCGAATATTACGTTAAGCATCTGTGTAAGTGTTGCACGTGCTGTTGTCTGATTGACTAGATTCTTGCTGGACAAATATATGTCGTAGCAGGTGCGTACGGCTTGCAAAACGGTGCCTTCATGTATTTCAACATGCTGTGATGTAACAACAGTAAGCAACGCTTTAATAATTTGCAATTGTACACCTTCATCGGTCTGTGGCCCATTGAAGCAACCGCATATAGTATTGACAATGCGATCAATAAGTAAATGCCCAGGACTGGCGGAGTCCTGTATGGCACCAGTCAAATGCCCATATGCTATGAGCTTTTGTAGACAATCAAGCGCCGTCACGACAATACGTGGCGAACGACTCTTACATGCCAGTTCAAAAGGCAAAAAATATGTCTCTGCATTAATAATACTGGCAGCGTCATTCTTTGGTAAAGGTAATGCTGCACATGGCAATTCATTTCCTTCTGCAATTTGACCTGCATTAATAAGTTCATTTTTAATTTGTTCGAGCGCTGAATCGCAAGATTTTTTAAGTTGCGAATGATGCGAACGCCGAATATCTTTATCCGCTAAAATTTTCTCTAATGCACGCACGATAAACATTTCTTTAGCTTTCGAGGAAAAACTTTGCATATTGTCAAAATCCTTCACATTAAGACAAAATTTTTTGATGCCCGATAAGGTCAGCAATCACGCACACCCCCACAACACTTAAGTGTTTATAAGGTAGTATTTTCTTCTGCACTAATTAAAACACAACATTTTACAATTTAATTAAAAATACCGATGGCATCGATTAGGAAATATACTGAAAATACATATGTGCAAGCAAAGAAAAACCACCAAATAATGTCCACTGTCTTTTTATGAAAAATAAACGTCATCAATGATTGTCAATACAACCATTAATTAAATCGATAAGCGATAAAAGAAAAAATATCGCAAGTTATGCGACTGTGTGACACATGTGATCTAAAATTGAAAGCTGTTGTTATTCTACTATGCCAGATTCTAGTAAAGCATAGCTTTAGGCGCTCGTCATTAAAACATCGACTAATTTGTTAATCTAAATATAAATAACTTCGTAATCCGGTCAGTTATAAAAAAAAAATCCAACTAAATAAATTATATTTCAATTAAATAATATTATACACATGAATATTAATACAATAGATAAAATTTTAATATTTTTGCACATTTTTCTACCAATTACATTAGTTTTGAAAGCAAATTTATTTAATACAGCTACAATCATAAAACTCCTTTAAATTTACATCACGGTAAATTGAAATCAAGGAAATTACTATATTAAATTTTTAATTATAAGTTCACATCACTAGACGTAAAATATGATTACGATATTTTTTTCTATTCTTCGACTTTGGCATTAAATGTGTTCAAATAAAATATTCGATTATTAATTTCCATTTCTATGTGCGCGCTTTTAAAAATAGTAAACACAATTCTTCAATCCATATATATTTTACGAAATCCGTATAAAGACAAAATATAAGATCAAACTGATATTTTAATTAGCTTTAGAAAAATGGAAGTATTCAATAAATTAAACGAAAGATTTCACTGCCGTAAAAAAGTCTTAAAATCACTTACCAATTTAATTGGACATTCTGAAGAAATGCTTCCAGCTGCAATTCATATTTATGGTCATACAGGTACAGGAAAAACTACGATACTTAAAAATTTCCTTAATGAAAGCACGCGTCGTAGTAAAAATAACTTAAACGTAGCATACGTCAATTGTGTTGAAAGTTATACTTCAAGAATACTATTTGAAAATATATTGGAATATATAAACAGTGATATGGCGCATGATATTAAAACAGAAAATTTAAAAGACTTTGTGGAAAAGTTGCGACGCATACAATCACAACCAGAAGCGCAGTATATAATTTCTTTAGACAATGCGGAGAGACTAAGGGATATGGATGCAAATGTGTTACCATCTTTGTTACGTCTGCAACAACTTAGTGGTCTGAATATTTGTGTTATATTAATATCACAACTTCCATTAGAAAAGTTTTATTGTAAAACAAGTATTGATGATCCCATTACAATATACTTTCCCCAGTACACAAAATCTGAAACACTGGAAATATTAAGCGCTGACTTCAAAAATGCACAAAAACTTATGGTTGCTTTACTCAATCGTAAGAAACCAGAGAATCTGTCAACAAAACTAGAAATAGTTGATACAGTAACGAGAGAGTTTTTCAATAATTATTTAAATCTATTTCTGGGAGTATTTTATAAAGCATGTCGTGATCTTTCTGAATTAAAGATTACTGCTAGAAAATGTTTTACATTCTATATGGAACCTATATTGGATGGTACGGTTAGCATGTCCGATGTTTCACGTTTATGGCGTTGTATTGCCGGTCAACTACGAACAGCCCTAACACAAGTATATATACGAAATGGTCAACCAGAGGTAATACTTAGAAAATATTTTTCTAAATACAATTACTTAATATTAAAAAATTAAATACAGACTCCAGCGGTAAACAATGATAAAGAGATTTTAAAAGTTGCACAATCTTTGGAACTGCCTTATTATGGCAAGTATTTGTTAATAGCTGCTTTTATCGCGAGTTATAATTCATCAAAAGAAGACAAACGTTTGTTTGTGAAGAATCACGGAAAACGACGAAAACGATTGCAAAATGTCAATGCGAATGCTAAAGTGAGTGAAAATGTCGACTGTGTAAATTGTTTATATGCGAACTAAACATTTTGTATTTTGCTTTTACCAGGTAACAGAAAAAATGAATACCTATATTGGACCAAAATCATTCAGTGTTGACCGTCTTTTGGCTATATTTTATGCTATACTTGATGAGAAAGTTGGCTTAACTTGTAACTTGCTCTCACAAATTTCAACATTAGTCAATCTTAAACTACTTACTTTTGTTTCGGGAGAAAATGTTATGGATGGAACGTCGCGTTTGCAGTGTACAATAGGACTGGAGTTTGTCATCTGCATAAGCCAAGTAGTAGGATTTAATGTGCGTCAGTACTTGAGCGATTTCAATTAATTTTTTATATTTAATTTTTGTGTTTTATCTTATTTAATTTAGTTTGAAAATATTTGTAATAAATAATTTGGCAAATCACTAATATGTATCGTTTCCTCTAAGGTGGTATCACGACTACGTAGTTTCAATAGGCCATTCAGAAGGGTGCTTTCGTTGATGATCACTGCATATGGTATGCCTAGGCTATCACATTTAAAAAGTTCCTCTTCCATTTTATTGGAGCATTGGGTAAAAATCATATTTTCTGGTTTCAATCGTAGACCGGACCGCAATAGCACGTTACTTATATGCAAACAAAGATCTCCCAAGTCGATCAATTTGTTATCTAAAAAAGTTGTTTTTTTTTAACAAATAAATAAAACATAAAGCAAATTTACCTTGATGACAGCAAGCTACGACACATTGATAAGGAGCTAATTTTCTATTGAGCAACAAAGTGTTTTCATGTTCGTTATCCACGCTATCGAAGAGAACCGCTAGAATTTTTAATATTAAGTAAAAGTAATTTCAAAATGTTGACTATCTCCTTACCACTTGTTGCAGCCTGCAGATCAATAACTGACCGTATGACGGCGGGTGCGATGTCTTGACCACTGGTATTATTTGATAAAAATGCATTTATTTTTTTATCCAAATGCGTTTTTAATAAAGGAACTAGTGTTATGGACTCCACATCTAGTGTAACATAGGGTAATTTTGTTTTAATTGTAATCGATTGGGTGCCAGGAGGTACTGTTGACTCCGAAATGTCACTAAATTTATATGGATCTAAATAGTATTTGCTGGGATCAGTACTAAAGCGCATCCACCAGATTTTGCATTCACGTTGAGCTTTAAAAAAATCACTAACACCTTTCGCCGGATGAGTTAAGTAATATGTGAATAAGAATGTACGAATTCTTGTTGTAGAGGCATCAAAATTGTTTGTGGCTACTTTATTTAAATTATTAGTATGTATTTTTTGTATCGTTTTCCAAATTACGGGATATTGTTCATTTACCGATTTACTACATAAATGTCTAATGCCGTCATGAAATTGTTTCGAAAATATAAAATTAGATCTATCATTAGTGTCAACTAAGGCTTCGTCTTCAATGACATCGGTGAAACTATTGCGTACTTCCTTATCTAATGAATGTGTCTTACACCAATGGAGCAACAATTGCTCACTATATTTAATGCCATTTTCTAACAACGTACAGTTGTTTATCGCTCCATTGTAGCCAATAGAGGCACTTAAATATTGAGATGAATGTAAAGCTTCAATAACTTGTTTCAACTGCTTCATATTTGCCTCGTTTAATTATCAGTAAAATCCTTTTCTTTTTGTTGTAGTGGAATATTGCCGGGTGGAGAGACAAAATAATCTTCCTCAGTAACTTTGGCACCACGTAGGATATCTTCTCTGCAGTTTCCTTCTGTTACGCAATCTTCGCGCAAATATAAGTTTTGATCCTCCAATACGGTATATAAAGGCAATACGTTAGTTGTATCGATATGTGAAATTTTTTCCACAAATTCAATACTTTTTTCCAATGTAGTTAAAGCTTCCTTACTTTCCAAATTAACTAAAGAAAGACGCTCAAGGAGTTGTATAGTTGCGTTATCTATTACAGGTTTTTCACCTGTTGGAAAATTTTGTTTTATTGGTTTACTTGGAACTTTCGATGGATACTTTAGTTCGGAAAAGTTCAACTTATTTTCCTTTGGTTGGTCAAATTTGTGATTATTATTCACTTTCTTTAGAACTGTGCAGTAGCTACGAGTTTTCTGTAAAATTCGCTGCATTTCACCGGTTATGACGCGTGCATTAAATATATATATTGCATAAATAATAACTTGATTATGGGATTTGAGATTGTTTGAGATGATTGTGTCGAAAAATGGTGTTTACTTTTATCGATGCTTTTGATTTCAATAGAAATCAGCGATTACCTTTTGGATATGATTTGAATCGATTAACACTAATGAGATCACAATAAGTTAAACAAAATAAAAATAAGTGTTGAATAGACAGGGATTTGTGCAACTATTCTTAAAACTAGGTTGACATTATATCTTTGCATTAAATTAATATTTCTGAAAAGTGTCTCACCTTAAAAATACTGAACCCGGTAGTGTTTCGCAAATTCAGACAATTAAATTTTGGTAATATAATCGATTATTAGCCGGTAGAATTACACATCTATGAAATATAAAACGATGGCAATTTGAGTAGCTTTGACAAACACTTTCCCAACATTCTAGTTTTTGTTTTCATGTGGTTATATTCATTATTAAGTGATAAAAATGCCGTACGCTAATCAGCCCTCTGTGCAAATAACTGAATTAACAGACGACAATGTGAAATTCGTTTTGGAGGATACCGAACTGAGTGTAGCAAATAGTTTGCGACGTGTTTTCATTGCAGAGACCCCAACACTAGCTATCGACTGGGTACAACTTGAAGCAAACTCTACGGTACTTTCTGACGAATTTCTCGCTCATCGTATTGGACTTATTCCCTTAATATCTGATGAAGTCGTTGAACGCCTACAATATACACGCGATTGCATTTGCTTGGATTTTTGTCCGGAGTGTAGTGTAGAGTTTACACTTGACGTCAAGTGTACTGAAGAGCAAACTCGTCATGTCACAACTGCAGATTTGAAGTCGAGCAATCCAAAAGTATTACCCGTAACATCACGCCATGTAAATGAAGAAGACAATGAATATGGCGAGAGCACCGATGAAATTTTAATAATCAAATTACGTCGTGGCCAAGAGTTAAAATTGAGAGCTTATGCGAAAAAAGGTTTTGGAAAGGAACATGCTAAATGGAACCCAACTGCAGGCGTTTGCTTTGAGTATGATCCAGATAATTCTATGCGTCATACACTATACCCCAAACCAGATGAGTGGCCAAAAAGTGAACACACCGAATTAGAGGATGATCAATATGAAGCACCTTATAATTGGGAAGCGAAACCAAATAAATTCTTCTATAATGTAGAATCATCCGGTGCTCTGAAGCCTGAAAATATAGTTATAATGGGAGTACAAGTTTTAAAAAATAAATTGTCCAATTTGCAAACGCAACTGAGCCATGAGACTCAAAACGATGCGCTAGCTGTGTAAAAACAGAACATTTGTACTAATAAATTTATGTTTATTTCAGAAAATATTGTTTTATTCACTGAATAGTTTTTTAATGTCTACATTTACACCAGATTTGTTACGTCCCTCTTTATCCAAGCTTTCTGCGAAATCACTGGATAGTGTGGTTTTGACCTCATCGGTGACCTCTGAATTTTTTTCAGCACTTGCGTTTTTGGATTGCTCCGCTAACAATTCAACTGCTGTCCCATACAATTTCTCGTCATCCAACGGATTTTGAGTTTTTAAATTTTCATAAATCTGTATAAAATTTTGTGTTTGGGTTTTCCTTCTGGTATCCAAAAAGTTTATAGTTTCATTTTGTTTGGTCGTTTTATGAAATTTTCTGAAATAAACTTTATTTTTAAACGCTTATCTAGGTAATCTCCATAAACTTACGCTCTTGTTACATCCTCTGCATAAAATATATTTTTGATTTTTATGTCGGGTGCAGGACGATCAAAGCGTGGTTCTAATTTTGGTGGAAAAGCAGTGTACAAATCAAACCAAATGGGTCTGTCCTCATATTTCATGGCTCCGGCTTTTATTAGGCCATTCACTCTGAAAAATAATTTTACTTACAGTATAGCATAAAAATGTTGGCAAAAATTCATACAAACCTTGTGAAAATAGTTCCAATTTTTTCTAATCTACTTTGCGCCATTTATAACAATTCCACAAATTCGCTCTCAAGAAATAGAAATAATGTTATGAAACATATGATTTTTGTCACTTGTATGTTTCAAGCTAATCGATTATATTTAGTTAATCGATGACTATTCATAATCATTCTAATTAGAAAAATATTAACTTTAATAATTGATTTTTATAGCTTTATAATCATAAACAATAATATTAAAGACAAAATTGTTTATATCTTATTTGTTGTGTTCCTTTTGTTTTATCTTTTGTTCAGTTTATGTAGGCGCAGTCGCATGCGTTTAGTTTAATTACAAAAAATGTGTTAAGTATGGAGTATTAACTATAATTAATAATTATTTTTAAATTTGAACGTGAAAAATAAATTTTTTAAGTCTTTTCTGAAATTTTTTGTACTAAAAGTTAAAAAATTTCTAAAATTTGGTATTTCCGATAACATTTAATTTCAATCGATTAATAACGATTTGTTTACTATTTTTTATGAATGAACTGTGTTTTGATTTACTCATCATTTAGCGCATTGTTTACATTTTTAAACGTCGGATTCATTAATGATATTAACTTGCTTTGGAAATGCAATTTCTACGATGTTATTCTACCAAATTTAAAGATATCTATCCGCACAGTGCAGTAAGAATTTTTCGGCGAAAAGACGCGTTGGTTAATACTAAGACTAAAGGCAATGTGAAGGCCCTTGCCTCCATCGACCAACATGCCAGTGAAATAATGCAAATGGAAGAACCAACTAATTCAGATGAAAAACACGATTTTGCTGAGAATATTGTCAAAGTGCAAATGCTCTCTCGAAGTTTACATAGTCAAATATTTACCACAACCACAAACGCAGACAGTGAGGAAGCAGTGAATTATTTAGCCGATTTAAAAAAGCATGGCATTGACGTAAATAGCACAGATCATTTACCAGATGTAAAACTAAAGCTACCCAAACTTCATGGCAAAAATATTGAAGAACACTTTTACAATATAGCTAAAGAGCAAGTAGATCCTTACGAGAAATTACTTAATTCATTAGTTTCGTGTAAGAAATTACCAAAACGTCCACAAAAATGGAATTTCAAGAGTGGTTGGACCATTTATAATTCGGTAACCGGAGAGGGGAAGACAATTAGTGTTCCACTTGAAGATGCATTGATATTTGATGTAGAAGTTTGTGTATCTGAGGGTGCAGCGCCCACATTAGCTACTGCCGTAAGTGTACATAATTGGTACTCTTGGGTAAGTCCTCAACTCGTGAACGAAGATACACGGATTAAATCAAATGATCATTCAGTGTCTTCAAAGCGCTACCATTTAAATGATCTTATTTCCTTGGGTACGAAAGGACCAAAAATAATAGTTGGTCATAATGTTTCGTACGATAGAGCTAGATTGCGTGAACAGTATCTCATAGAAGATACGGGCGTACGTTTTGTGGATACAATGTCATTGCATATAAGCGTAAGTGGTATAACCTCTTATCAGCGAGCACTTTTGAAATCGCGTAAAGAAACCGATCCTGAAAACGAGGAATGGCAAGCACATAGTTCACTCAACAGTTTAGTTGATGTCCATCGTTTGTACTGCGGCGGAGAGTCGCTATCAAAGGAGCCACGAAACATATTTTTAGAAGGATCACTATCGGATGTCAAGGAAAACTTTCAAATGTTAATGAGTTACTGTGCTGGTGACGTTGAAGCTACTTTCAATGTATTCGAAAAACTGTATCCCATATTTTTAGAGAGATTCCCTCATCCGGCTACATTAGCCGGTATGTTGGAATTAGGTTCCGCATATTTACCTGTTAATTCTAATTGGAAGCGGTACATAAAAGAGTCAGATTTAGCATATGAAGATTTAAGCATCGAAGCCAAGAACCACCTTACGCGTCGGGCTGACAATGCTTGTAGGCTAATGAAAAATGAGGCATATCGTGAGCATCTCTGGCTGTGGGACGAAGACTGGAGTGTGCAAGAAATAAAATTAAAGAAGACGAAACCCTTAAAGAAGGCCTCACCGAATTTATTAAAAGCAGAACAAAGTAGTTTCTCGAAAGAAGAGCATCAATTACAAAGAAAATTTCAATATTTGTACGATATGAAGTCGCTTTTGCCGGCTCGACGTCCATTGTTACCGGGTTACCCTGCGTGGTATCGAAAATTGTGCAAAAAACGTCCGAGGGATAACACGACGAATAATACTGATTGGTCACCGGGTGCAACCGAAGTAGGGACCGGCATGCAAATAGCTCCAAAATTACTTTCCTTGTGTTGGGAGGGATATCCATTACACTATATAAGAGAACATGGTTGGGGATTTCTTGTACCATTTCGCACAGAAACATATCCACCTGTAGATACGGATGCTGGTTCGAATCTATATCGTATACCAATTAAAAAACTTACAGAACGCTGTCCAGTACCAAAATCTCTGGCGTTGGCTACTTTAGAAATGCAAGACTTTGGTTACGACATGGGCGTGCTCGATCAGGAGCTTCACAGTAAATTGGGAAAAAAGGAATTTTATAAAAAACAACCAAAGGACCACACAAATGGCGTTTATAAGGGAGCAGGTGTGTGGTGTAAACAAATTTTAGAAGGCTGTTGTTTTTTCCTAAAACTACCACATAAAAATGGTAATTCCTTTCGTGTGGGCAATCCTTTGTCGAAGGATTTTCTAAACAAATTCTCTGAAAATGTCTTAAGTAGTGGAGATGCCGTGGAAGGTTCGGCGAAACGCGTTATTGATATTGCTCGGATGATGTCCTATTGGCGAAACAATCGAGATCGTATAATAGGCCAAATGGTGGTTTGGTTAAGTAGAGACGAATTGCCGAATAGTTTGAAAAATGACAAAAAGATTGACTCTGTAACGGAATACGGTGCCATTTGTCCACAAGTTGTTGCTTGCGGTACGTTGACACGCAGAGCAATGGAACCAACTTGGATGACAGCATCAAATTCACAGCGCGAACGTATCGGTTCTGAATTACGTTCAATGGTCCAAGCACCACCAGGATATCGGATAGTTGGCGCCGATGTTGACTCGCAGGAATTATGGATTGCTTCAGTACTTGGCGATGCCTACGCTTGTGGCATTCATGGTGCAACGCCTTTAGGATGGATGACAATCAGTGGGTCAAAGTCAAATGGTACTGATATGCATTCTATAACCGCAAAAGCTGTGGGTATATCGAGAGATCATGCCAAAGTTATCAATTACGCACGTATTTATGGAGCGGGCCAAAATTTCGCCGAAGGTCTACTAAAGCAATTCAATCCAACCTTATCAGATACAGAAGCACGAGTTAAGGCGCAAAAAATGTTTGCCATTACTAAAGGTAAACGAGTTTATAATTTGCGCGACGAATTCGTGGATAATTATGAAGACAGAAGGTAAAGTGGTTCAGTGAATTGTTTGGTTATTAAAAACTTGTTCAATACTTTTATCTCTATTTACAGTTACTCTGGTTACGAAGCACTGAAGCTGGCTGCATCCTGCAACCGCGCGGTGAAAGAAATGTTTCAGCACCCTAAATGGGTAGGTGGTACTGAAAGTGCGATGTTTAACAGATTAGAAGAAATTGCCTCAAGTAATTGTCCCAAAACGCCATTTTTGAATTGTCGGCTAAGTCGAGCACTGGAAGTAAATAGTGGCGATGAGAATCGCTTTCTGCCAACACGTATAAATTGGGTGGTACAAAGTGGTGCTGTCGATTTTCTACATCTTATGTTAGTTTGTATGCGTTGGCTTATGGGAACACAAATGCGCTTCAGTTTAAGCTTTCACGATGAAGTGCGTTACTTGGTGAAGGAGGATCTAGCCTATAAAACAGCCCTGGCTCTACATATAACAAATCTGTTGACGCGGTCCTTTTGTTCATCACGTATTGGACTTTCTGATTTACCAATGTCTGTAGCATTCTTTTCATCCGTCGAAGTGGATACTGTTCTGAGGAAGGACAGTACTATGGATTGTAAAACCCCTTCCAATCCTCATGGTCTGCATATTGGTTATGGGATTCCACCTGGTGAAAGCTTAACAATATATGATGCTATAGCAAAAGCAGGAGGCGGTGATTTAAGTCAATGGACTTGGATAAAATAGCATTTTTATGTAATTTTCCCTTTCAGAAATCTTAATTATTTTCTCTTTTAGTTCTAACCATATAAATTGTTGTGTTTGTTTTTAAATACTGTGAAGAGGTATAACTAAAATATTTATACAGATTTAAAATTCAACATAACATAATTTTCATTTTGGGTTTTCAAATTTTGATAAACGAAAAATTGAGAGAATTTTTCAAACCTTAGATAAATACATACATACATACAATGGAAATGAAGAAAATGAGTCTTGCAACGCGACCTAAGGACTATCGTGCCCTCCTCTCTTTCGCAGCAGGATTCCGATATTTTAAAAAGACTTCTGCTCGGTGCGCGTTTGAATCTTTCGTATCTGCAGTACTCAATTAGATTATGTATGGCCACTGTGGGTATCGTGGATGCCCACGAGATGTAAGAAGTTGCAAAAACGACTGTCCTTGGGCTGCACCACGATCATGTCCTGTGTTTGAAATGCAATAAAAGTCAATGTCGTTCCGAATGACTATAAAAGTTTTAGGTCTGTCACAAGAGAGAGCCCTACGTTTTTTGCTTTCGTTTTGAAGGTCTTGACCTGAGGGGCATTAGAACTGTAGCCCTTTACTCTGTTCCGAGATGGAAATATGTGTATGTAGTGGATATATCTTAAGTACTACTTTAGGCTGAAACCATTCACACTCACCCTGCGGGTTCAGGGATCAGGGTCGCCTACAACTGGTTGAGAGGCAGAATTCTGCCGAGTTGACAGTCCTTGGCCGGATGAAAATCCGGGTCCGTTCCGGTTACGTAGATCCGACGGTCGTGGGAACGGCTGAGTCATTTATGTTTAAACCTTACTGAGGGGTGTTGTCGTGGGGATTGCTACGTCATATCTGGCATGCTCCTCCAACAACATAGGCTCTTCCGGCCATAGGATGTTTTTAAAGAGGCGGAGCAGAAGCCCTGCCCAGTGTTAGGAATGTTACCTTCACAAACAGAAAATATGGGTATATCCGATATCGGTTATGACAAATGTGTAGCTTCTTGGGAAGATTAGATTAGATTAATAAAGGAGGAATGCATCCTTAGTTCTATTGTCCCTCTTGGGAAAGAAATGACGTGTATAAAATTACAGAGCAATATCTAAAAAACTAAGGATTGGATTGCTTGTATGCAATGCGTCGATCAGCGTACCAAATAATGCAAACTTTTTGCAATCATTACTTGATTTCGCTTTGGTCATATTCAAGACCGATCTAAACCCACTACCGTGCTGTGGATCCAACACCTGGCAGCGATACGATTCCATACTGAACTGAATTTTCAATTCTACGCGCGTTTATGTTTAAACCACAGCCAACACGAAACTCCCCAAAGGATCAAACCTAATGATTAGATTCGCTCAAATATAGGGCTTACTGCTCCCCGTGGCACCAGATCAAAGTCTCCGGTCAGGCTTTCTAGCTTTTGCTACTACCAGTTGAGCACCCATTAGACTCAATGACTGGTGACTTCAAATGTTTTTTCATTAGAAAAAGTCTCATTCAAAGTCTATAATATCAGTTGCTGATATTTTGAAGCAGAGAACAGAGAAAGTGCATTTTGGATTTTAGTCACCTCTTACGACAGGCATGCCTTACCACAAGTAAATTTTAACCCCTGCCCGCTGGGGTAAGACAGACGCACACATAGACTTGGCTAAATCGACTCAGCTCGTCCCGTTGATTTTTTATATACATACCTATAATTTCCGCCGCGTCAGGCGGATAGCTTGATGCAAACGACGCATAAAATACAAATAGTATCCCTTGGTGACGGTTTGCCCATTCGGAAGGATTTCGGAGTGCACCACATCGCGAAAATTGAAAAAACTGTTAACATAAACTTGATTTTTGACCTGCTTTCACGTGTTTTTTTCGGCTTCGGCTCATCTTTGAAGCCATATTTGTCAGTTTCTGGGTCGTAAGCATAGATCCATCTTGGTATTCGGAAAGCATTGTTTCACACCTTAACACGACGCTGTTTTTCGAAAAAAATCGTCGATTTTGGAACCAATCGTACTTTCACTTTTCTTAGGGACAAATGATCTTTCAGAATAGTTTCCATTGATTGTTGCGATATTCCAACGATGACAGTAAGATCTCTGAGCGTTAATTGTTGACTCTCAAGCCTAAATTCATTTCTTTATTGACTTGTTGATCATCAGTTGATGTTAATAACCGTCTTGGACTCATCTTTGTCAACACGTTCTCGACCTTCTTTCCAACATTCTGAACGTTTCGTCCCGCATACAAAATTTAATGAAACATCTAAGTACACTCTTCGTAAAAATCGCCGAATTCACTTTATGTATTTCAGACGGGAAAGCGTATACTAAACACTAATAATTATTTTGATGTGATTTTGCACAGATGTCACTGAAAGTCATACCAACATAGAAAAAAAAAGAAAGAAATTTCGATGAAAGGGCCTTCGCGCGAAATTTAAATTAAAAAGTCTTTCAATTTTTTTGCCCAGACGACGTTTCTTTCTGCATGTAACAAACTTCGTTGCAAACCTAATACCCTTTTATGGGTAAGAAAATTGTAAAAAAAATGAAATGATTCTAACTTTAGAAGAATATATTAAGTTTTATGTTTATATATTTATTTTATGAAATATATTTACGAAGTTAAGGGTACTAAAAAAAATAAAGTTAAAAATGTTAAAAACCATTCCGTGCAAGCTTTAGTTCTCTTTCCTTCTCATGTTCTTTTTAACTCTTTGTAACGTATATTTTTACTAGCATTGTTACTAATGTTACGTTAGAATTAATTTTTATACGTCATAATTTAGTATTACAAACTTATTACTGACCTTGTGCGTTCATAATTTCCTAAACCCAATGCCAATCAGTGCCACAAAAACCTCAATGTGCAATGAGAAGCGTGGCTTGAAACAAAAGGTATGCATTACAACTATATACATAAAACTATGACTGTGTAGACCTTGTTGGAAAAAATGTATGAAGTAACAGTTAATGCTGTATTAAATACAATATGGTAAGACGGATATATAATTCATTTACTTATCTTTATGCCAACTACGCCGAATTATGTTAAGCAAATGCGAATAAACCTCTTTTGGCTGAAGTGCTCATATATCATAACTTAGTAGTTCTAATAGATGTTGTTATATTCTATAAGGAATTTGAATTTATTGTTATAACTACTGAGATTATATATTATATATAATGTGAATAAAACATTAATTTTAGAATGTAAATCAAAGTTAGTGTTTTAGATCTAAAAGTAAATGAGATAGATGTGGAGTTCTGTATACTTATAAAAATAATGAAAATAAAAAGACGAAGTGATTTTGGAAAATGAAGGAACATTTGTTCACACGTGGAAGTGATAACGTGAGTAAAAAATTTGTATACCGTGAACAGGGTTTATTGAGTTTGTTACGATGTTTATAACATCCAAGAACCTTATAAAGAATATATATAAAACATATATGTATTTATATATGATCAGTATGAGTATCCGAGTCGAGTAGGCATATCTGTTTGTAAATATGAAAAATAGTCTCTCAGTTTTTGAGATATCGGTCTAAAATTTTCAAGACATTGTATTCTCCACAAGAAACTGTTAATATCGTACAACTATATCAGATTGGCGTCATACAACTACAACATACAACAACGTCCTTGTGGGGAAATTTTTTTTGATCGATCACTACAAACTCCGAACATATTGTTTTCATCGAATCATTCATTATAGCTTATATGGTAGCAGCCATATAAACTGACTGGTCAAAATCAGAGTAAAGATTTTCCTATAGTAAAGGGTGATTTATTTTAAGGCTTCCTACTTTTTTAAAGAAGCAAACACAGAAACTTCAAATTTATTGGGAAATGTTGATAATCATTCGAAAGAACATTCTTTGGCATTTATTTTTGAATGTTGTCTTTTCAAATTTTGACCGCAGCTAGCTTTTCGACTGGCAATTGGGGAATAACAAGCGTAATGCTTTGTTCTTAGGCCCGAATCGAAGCGGAATTGCGCAACGATTAATATGCTATGCGTTTTAAGGGCGGTAGGGGGACAAAAAATTCAATATCTTTGGAATGGAATGAATGAACAAAAATTTTTTTGCAGATTATTAAAGTTGAATATATTCTGAGTTGTGTCACAAACTTTTTATTTTTTTTTAGCGTGAAGAACACTTAAAAAAATTCAATTGTTTAACAAAAAATTATGTAAAATATTATTATTTAAACAAAAGGACTATGAAAAAATATGTATTATATAGCATGAACATTTTTATTAAACTTCACCAAATTTCATCGATTTATCTCAAAAAGTATATGAGAAAATAATTTAACAATTTTATCATGCTCTAAATTTCAACCTTCAATAACTTTAACAAATAAAAAAGAATTTTGTCGAAATATTTATACCACGGGGTATGCGTCTGGTCCCCTTCCTAATAAACTGCTAATTTTCAAAATCGGAGATTTTTCGAAATTTTCATGGACCACTTGACGTGGTTTGCCCCACATTTCTTCTTTATTGAACAATATTTCAAAAATAATGAAAGCTTGGAACCCGCAGTTCGAGAATTTTATACAAAATATGGTCGGAAGAGTTTTTAACTTCCTCAACTGTGAAGAGATTTTGAAATGGCGGTTCGTTTAAATCTTGCATTAATTTTGGGGCACAATGTATTATAGTTTAGAGCAGAAAATGTGTGTAATGAAATACATCAGGCCGCATACATTACATATAACGACTTTTTTATTCTACTATATATTAAAGGCGAATATATCGACGATTGTTTGGGTTATCATATTTTACTTTGATAATGAAGATTGAAATATCGATCCTTAATGATCATATAAGTTTATATTTCTAATTAGATGTGAAAGTTTCTGATAAATTTAAAAAAAAAAAACGTTTCAGCAGTAGGCCTAATTAATGTAAAAACATCTGTTCGTCATATATAACATAAAAAATAAAACAATGCGTTTTTTATAAGCAGCACTATGTGCTTCTGTTGAGCTTTATTACAAAACTGAAAACACTTAACTTTA